CAATTTAGAAATAAAATAAATATTACCAAGATATATAGAAATATAAAAAGTGGCACATATACAAAAACAAAAAATTTAGAAAATTAGAATGGTGTAAATAAAAGTTATAAATGTATCTGATACACATACAAAGGCTAGAGAATCAGAATGGTGTAAATAGAAGCTATGAGTGTCTCTGATACACAGGGTAGTGTACATAGATGCTGTAAATGTATCCGATGCACATACAAAGACTAGATAATCAGAATGGTGTAAATAGAAGCTATAATCGTTTCTTTAACATATAGACAATGAACAAAGACTAGAAAATCAGAAAAGCTATAATATATATGTCTTTGAAAGCAGTGGCGTATTTAGGTATATTCAACGAAAAAAGTCACTACGCCACTGTCTGAAGGAAAAAGAAACCAAGATTGTCCGATATACATAATATAGACAGACTATAAATCAAATGTTATGTAAAGATAAGCTAAAAGACGTCTCTACAAACATGAAATTTCACGAGTACTTACCTGTTATGGAATGTATTGGTGGATACAAGAACTATGTTTACTGCTATTACCAAAAGCTTATGACCTCACAGTAATATCTTGCAGTTGCTTATATAATGGTTTTGTATAATCATTTACCTAATTTTATTGTCTTTAGGTACTTTGTGTCTTGATAAACAACTGATTGAATGATTTACGACTGACATCCCCTGTCTCTTCTAGTCATGGCCACAAAATAGAAATATTCCCGCCTCGTACTCCTATATTTTGCGAAATATCTCCCCCGTTAAAAAAATAACATCAATGACAAAACTTCATTGGTTTTGATCAATGTAAGTATCTAAATGGCGTTATTCTTTTCGCGTAAAGTCATAAAAAGTGGATTAAAAGAGTTGAGATGTTAATCCACAGTTTTTAAAAAGACCGAAATAATAAATATTTATGATAACACGTGATCATCAAATCGACCAATAAGCATACATGCACGTAGCCATTTTAACATTTTGATTTGTGAATATCAGAGTAATGAAAATTAGCACAAACTTTCGTTCCGTTTTTTTATTAGCCTGTGAATATCAAAAATAAAATGTGAAAAAAAAAACGGAACGAAAGTTTGGTCTGAATTTAAATAGAATGCGTGAATATGAACACCACCGCGAAACATCGCTTTCATATGAGTGCAATAAGTACTTGTTATGAAATTTGCCGTCTCATCTAGTTTGCGATATCAGCATCCCCTTGAAGCGAACGTTATCTTGTCATCTATCTATCAATCCACATAGAAGGCAAGTAGTATTATGGATATTTATGGCTTTAGAGGATTCTATTGCAAAATGTGGTTTAATATAATTTTTTCTCTCCAAAAATGAAAACCGACCGGGATCCATAAATCTTAAATGCATAAATTGATAGTGCATTCAACTAACCAAAATTATCTTCGGCTCCATAAAATTGGTTGTGAAGCACAGTTTTACCTTGTAAAGTAATTTTTACCCGTGAAAATTCACCTACCCTTTCTGTTTGATCGCCCGGATGACAAATGGCGATCTCTCGTTTCCGGTGGAATATGGGAAAAATCGACTAAATGTTTTGGATTTCGAGTTTCATTTTTATTCATTGAGCAATTCATTTGATACGTTGAATATTAAATCACCCAGAACATGAGATGCATAAATATTTCGTCAAATAATGGCTGGATAATCGAGTCAACTACAGATTTAAAATGTAACAAAGCATACCGATTTATATTTTAAAAGATTGAAAAAAACCTCAGATATTGACTGCGACGTCAAATCAGTGTAGACAGATACTCATAAAAAAAACACTACAAAAAATGTTTTTGACATTTTTGAAGAATCACGAGTGATATTTTTAAAGTTCGTTTTGATGTTTTTAGATAATAAATTATTTAGAACAATGTTCTATTGTCAATCAAAAAGTGCACCCTCTCTTCCGGTATTCCGTGACAGATATAGATCTAAAAAAATATAAATCACTAATTTTTTTTTTGAATCTGAGATGAAGTTAAAGGCTGAAATGTTTTTTTATTTGACTTGTCAAACAACCCCCCAACCCACACCCCCCCCCCCCTCCTCGGGCGTAAACCATTGGAGGATTGGAGGTACCATTCAGACAATATAATGCTAAAAGGTTGTAGTCGTTTTCTAATCCATCAAAAAGAAGGTTGGCACATCTCTGATTCTCTCGTCTAGGACCATCCCACAGGCTCAATGGGTGCTCTACCGATACATCTATGATGAAATGAACTATACTAGTACTGTCAGCAGTGATCAGCGCATAGCTTGCGCCGGTATAGTGCAATAATAACAAGGTGAAAGGGAGAGAAAGAGAGGGAGGGGGGGGGGGCAATACAAAAGTGATTGATCCGATAGTACATGGGCAAAACTCATAAAATTATTCCATTCCAATAACTGCTTCATCAGCGTGTTGTTGATAAAAAATCCTAAATTGTTGTTCCTATTTATGTCTAACTTTTTTATGTCGAAAAATAAATGTAATGATTTTTTATCTCAATTGTTTTATAACCAGTCATGTGATGATCACGTGCCGAAAGGACCATAAACAAAATAAAATTAATATTTTAGAAATATATAGGATACACATGGTTTCGTTTATTTTTGACATCCGCCATCTATTTTTGAAATAGAACTCTTGTATTGGATGTATTTCATATTACCTAAAGGGTCATTCACACCATGCGATTAATTGCTATGACTCCGAATAAGAATAGCATCCGTATTACAAGATGGGGCCCGTCGACTTAAGCAATCGGGGGTCACGGGAAATTTATCTTAACATGCTCTACTGCATTATGAGACCCCTCTGTAGTTTAGGCTGTTTCGTTTCTCCCAGATTTCTACTTGTGATATGAATAAGACAGTTATAATAAGTATAAGGTATTGAATGAATTTTTAGTTTTAATAAGCATTATAGTTTAAAAAAATAGATTTCTCTTTTCTTCCTTATTCACAAACATCCAGCCCGTCTTTGTCTGCACAGATTCGACAGACGGTTGCCTGCACTGGTTGTTTAGAGTCTTTGTAATTAACCGAGTCTACAGTGGCTATTGAATCTGATTGGTTGTAAATCCACATCCGTTTGAGCGATGAATTAAAATGATTCAGTGATTATGACAATGTCTTTTATTTTAAATCTTTGTTCGAGGAGTCGATAAATAAAACATGTGCGATTTTGTTTCTGTAGACCACCAGCATCACCTAAAGGAAACTATCAAACATTGGCGAAAGTTGTGCCGAATGGTTATAAGCAAGTCCTTTGAGACATGTAGATCGAAATATGCTTAAATTTGGTTATCTCCCTTCTAAGAAATAAATAATAGTTTTTGTATTTGTCAATTGTCACTTAACGACTGTAAAAATGGGTATATTTAATATTGTTTGATATGTAATAAAAATACAGTTTTAAAGTAACACAATCGCCATGTACATCTATTGATTATGTTCTCGAGGAGACCAATGTTGACTGTTGGGATTATTTACTAGAGAGTGATCCAGTGTTGTACTATTATCTGTTTATAGAAACACCACACATCACCTAACACTGGGTTCTATTCTATACGGGGGTCCACTGTAGCTCTATTGTCTATAAACACATATAAATTCTAAAGAGTGGTTCACTGTTTTGCAAGTTTCTGTTTAAACAATAGACATCACCTCACCGTGGGTTATATTTTAGAGGATAGTCAACTGTTGTACTATGCATAGGTTAATGATGTTCAATAACTTCACGAATGTCCGTAGCTAGGTTAATTAGGTCTGCTGCGTAGGACATGAGTGAAGTTATTTAACGTCTCAAGATCTTTAACCTACTTAAAATACAGTCGAGCACATGTAGTGAGTACACTCAGTCACGTTTAATTCTAAACTAATTATAGGTGGTTGGCTTCCAGCGGATGCTGATATCGCAAACTAGGTAGTTGTTGGTAGTCGTAGTAGTTGGTAGTTGGAGCCAAATATAGCATTTCGTTCTCGGTTATAATGCGTAAGAATAACTCAAGATATTTATTAAGCAATAAAACTGGCTTTGAATTGGACCACATGACGGATTTTTGTACATGCGCAAAGTTATTTGGCTTTTTATTGTGGAAGGGTATAAGGGATTATTAGAATTGGATTAATCTTGTAGAAATATGGTTTTGGCCGAAAAGGCATACCAATAAGAGGAAATTATAACCCAAGGTATTGATTTTCCATAGGATCTGGAGTAGGCGACATGTTAATTCAAAATTCACTTTCGAAATTTGGTGTATATTTCATCATTATGTGTGCATTATTTAATTCCGATGGTGATAATAAGGCTATTGCTGAAAATGATATTTAGAAATTAAACTCAGAAATGCACAGTTCCAACTGTTTGAATTGTGTGGTTGTATTAGGTGTAAAGCACAGATATTTCATAATAATAGACTCGAGGTATCAAAATGAACAGAGTGAAAGAACTGGAATTTATACTCGTGAAATGTTTGTTTCCTTGATTATTATAGGGATAGATTCTCCATCCGTTCGACCAATTGTTCAGGAAAACTGAATGTTTATCGGAGAATGTTCATTTTCAGTACAAATTATCATTTTGTATACAAATGTCAATTTTCAATAACAAATGTCAAATTAAGCGTGCAAATTGAGAAATAAGAATTTAAAATTAAGAATTAAGAAATAGCAATGAAGAACATTGAATAAAAAGCCATTCCGCCTTCCATAAGTGGTATCCTAGTTTGAAGTCTTTTTGTATATTTATAGTACTTTACATAAATTCAAGATCCAAATCCAAGCCCCAAAATGGCGAATCTATCCCTTTAATATAGTGTCATATAAATTGATTGAAAGATAAGTTGAATTCAGTGAGTAGTTTTTTTGTTGTTCTCCCTAAAATAATCGTCCAATAATTCCGCCATTTTGGATCACTTATTGATACTCTGGGCACTCTACTGGTACTAATAAGATAAATATTAGAACTCGAACAACAATGGACTAGCAACAACTGTATATTAATTTTGACTATTGCGACTGTAGTTGGGTGATGAACGAATCAAAACAAAACAGATTGTAAAAGAGGTACAAAAAAACTTTATTACTATTTTGTTGGCTTTGTTCTAAAAGCTATGATGGCACACAAACAACCGAATGTGTATCATTATATCAATTTTACAAGCTGGTATTTGAAATTTTAGAAACTAATTCTATTTTCTAAATCAGGTTGATCAGGTTCTTGTAACTCCTGCAATGAAAAAGAATTCCATAGAAAAAAGGAAAACCGCCCGTTCTTCTGTTCTGCTGAAAATGTGGCTAATAAGTATTTAATGGCGTTTCTAAGGTGGGGTGGAAGAAGTAGCACATCAGAAGAGCGCCCTGCTCCTCTGTAGATGTGGCGATCATTGGGGACTTAGTCCGCGATAGATCGCCAAGAAGAATCTCAGAAGAAGAACGCCGTATCAAGACTACAGAAGAAGAATCAGAAGAAACCATGGGTGCAACCTGTTCCTTACTCAACGTCTGCGATATGGAATTTTTCCGAAGCGGACATCATCCACCAACAAGAAAAAGAAGAAGTGGGATGGAAGAGACGGCCGACTGCTGACTTTGCTCCGACTGTTCCCAATTATATATTGGTTATTTTCAAAATATACTTACTATTTATCAAAAGCTAACACTTCTGGCACCAAGACTTTATCTTGCAGCGGCAACCCCAGAAACACCTATGTCGGGGATTCCTCCAGCTCCAGCTCCTGCTCCTGCACCTGCACCTGCTCCGAACTGATCCATATAGGCCTTAACATATGCTCTGTACTCAGCGGGAACATATTGCATATAACCATCTGGCATTTGGGGAATAGTATAAGCTTCGTTTACAACCACTAGGCATAGTGCTGCCACTACGACAAGGATAACGTGTGAGGCCTGCATTCTGAAAAAAAAATAGATAAAAAGATAATATACAGATGTCGTCGTTCCTAACTTTTGTATTAAAGGGACGGGTTCGCCACCCGTTAAACCAATCGTATTTTAGTCTCAGAAACGGAATTATTTAGCTGAGCTAATCAGTAATAGTGATCACAGCTCACCATCAAATTTGAGCCTTCAAATTCACGTGTGTAAATAATTATCCGTTAAAAGACGACTCGTCATTTCTTAAGACTTTGTCATATATAGGAAAGACATGCATATATAGAAAGTGAAATTTCTACTTCGAGGCATTATGCGATGTTCGTACGCTCCTAGTACTTCTGAAGACTATTTAAGTATCTTCAAGACCCAAATCCACCCCCGAAAATGGCGAATCTGTCCCTTTAAGACCATCCATATGTGGACGTCAGTTTTGAAAATCCGCTCTACTCTATCCATCTATGTCCGTCCTTTTTTCTGAATCTAATGGCGATAGTGAAGGCAAAAACAAAATTATTAGAATAATAATATTTTAACACCAAGGCCTCTGTCTTTTCACACAAAAAAAGAAAGAAAGCGAAAAGTAAAGACCAAGTAAAAACTTACTTGTGTTTGAATGTAGATATGAACAGCACTATAAGAGAAAGGACAATTCCAACTGGAAACAGTAGCTTGTCTTCTCTAAAACCAACAAGTGAGTGTGAACAACAGGTAGAATTTCTAGGCTTTTATAATAAATTTCTTATGTAATTTTTATATATACATGAAGAATTTATTGACTTTTATAATAAATAAAAAATTTGTTACGTAATCTTAAAAAATTCTGTCATTGATATCATGTGATAAGAAATGGTTAATGCCGACTTTCATTGCTGTAAAATTGATTTCTATTGTAGGGTGTCAACTTGGGTATTAATAATATGGGCTACGGAGCCGAATGTTGAAGCGATACCCACCCCATCATAATGATAATTCTGCTTTAGCCATAACCAAATATCCACAAACTCTCCTAAAGACGAGCGTCGTATTCCATCAACGGAAATGTGGTTCGGAAGAGATCATTCCTAATTTTTCTTGGGGGAAAAATCCCTCAAAGCCTCGCTATGAGGCGAGCATGTCTACAGCAGCTGAAACCCGGAAGTGTAAACAGGGATTTAATGATGCCCTTCGTATAGTTTCTATACGTTGACCTGGCAACAGATAAACCACTTAAAACATAAAATTTTAGAATTGCTGGGATAAAAATACATTGCGTGATTTTGCGTGAACAGAGTATTTCGAACTACGGACCTACAACTCTTCACTTTCGGAGGTATGTTTGTAAAATTGCCGATTATTGGTGATTAACTATTGGTCAACAATTGAAAAAAGCAGAATGACCCTTAAAAGGAAACAACACAATATTATAATAAATTTGTTACGTAATCTGAAAAAAGAATTCTGTTTAGAAATGATGAATGCCGACTTTCATTGCTGTCAAATAATCTTAATAAATTATTTACTTTTTAGTAAATGTAAGTATTAGAAGTGTTCCGTATTTCACGCAAATTTACATCTTGAATTTTAAAGGGGTATACTGTTTTTTTGTAAAATGTTTTCAATATCAATAAGGTCGTAAATTATACCTGAAAATATTTCTAAAGTATGCTTTTTACATAAATGTATCTTCTTGATCAAATTGAATTTGTTTTCAAGGGTGAATAAAACCCATAGAGGACTAATCGTTATTTAAGCAGTTGGACCTGGTTTTGGTATTTGGCTTGATAATGGCTCGATATTATTAGTTGAAACCTTTATGATACGTAGGAGACATATTTCTCTACAAATAGGTGTTTATTTTTACTCAAATCCGTACAGTAGTTTTCATAAGCTTCCAAAAAGCATAACGAACTTAAAAACCTTACTAGAATGTTTTAAAATATTTTTGGCGTTAAAAAATTAACGGCTACTATCAGATATGTTTAATGGCACATTTCTCTAGATTGTGGTGTATTTTTTCACAAATTTGAGCCACAAAAATGGTCCCTTTAAGACTGTATTGAAAGTATGTTTTATTTGATAAGTTGAAGCAACCTTAAAAACCGATAATTAGAAATATCAAAATTTTTTACGTTTCTTCCTTGCCCAGGACACGTTCAACTACCATTTTTTCGTTTGATTTTTGCAAATATTAATGTATTGAATACTTTGGAATTAGAACGGGTGAACATAGATGTCTACTGTAGCCAAATTATGACCAAGTTTGAACAGTTTTAATATTATCCTATTAAAAGAATTATTATCATATTTATTTCAATTATTGTGGTCAAACTTGTTTATTGTTTGTTTACAAAATGAAATGAGTGGAGTTTTACGTCATACTTTTCTACGGCATTTGGGCTAATGAAGACGGACAACGCCATGCAGGGTGCATTGAGGAAAATTTTGCCAGGACAGTGGATGTTTAACGCTCACTGTCTGTAGCACACGGGGCCTCGGTTTATTGTCCCATCCGAAGGACTGGACGCTTTTTCCATGTCAGCCCCTCTTACCTGCATCACTGACAGAGGGAAACCGGTTGCATGTTTATCAGACATCACATTATATCTCAAGAGCATGCTTACTCTTTTCGAAACACCCGATGGTACTTCTCTTTGGAGGAGTGCATTACTATACAACTTTAACTCTCGATTAGGCCATACTTTGGACGAGATTTTGAAACAGACTTCACCTGTTTTATATTCTAGAAAACTGTTGTACTATTGTATTAGTGTCTGTTTTTAGAAACACTAGCCTAATTCTGGGTTACATTCTAGAGGTGGTCCTCTGATATACTTTTGTCTGTTTAAAGAAACACCAGATATCACCTACCTCTGGGTTACATTCTAAGGGGTGGTCTATGATGTTACATTATTCTCATAATTTTACGAATACTTTGTGATTTTTTATCTTATGTTTTTATGAGAACGATTGGCAACTATAGGTCTAATTCTTTTTTAGACTTTCTTTAATAAGTATCTGAATAAAGGTTTTGATAGGTATATGTTGTTTTCTTTCTTGTGATATGAAGTATCCTTTTGATAGGTTTATGTCAGTTTTCACTTTATGATTTGAAAAATGGTTTTGATAGATGTATGTAGGTTTACACCTTGTGTTTTTAAAATTTCTTTCAGATATTAGAGTCTGTTTATAGAAACATCAGACATGAACTAAATATCTGTTATATTCTAGAGCAGGCACGTGCAACCTTTCCGCAACAGCGGCCCACATTTGAGGGATGCGAGTAGGTCGTGGGCCAAGTAACCAACCATCAATAAATCATTTAACAATGAGAAACGTGCAATTTTATCAAGTCATTTATTCAATAACGTATTTCAATATGCATTGCAAATAACAGACATATTTGACGTAAAATCTTTGTTTCACACGAGGTCAGACCTCGTTAACGATTTGATTGGTCGTATTTTGCACAGACCTGTTCTGCAGGGTGATCCATTGTTGTACTATTGTCTATTTATAGAAACACCAGATCACCCTACTCTGGGTTTTATCCTAAGAGTGGTCTACTGTTGTACTATTGTCTGTCTACAGTAACGCCAGATATCACCTAACTTGGGGATATATTCTAGGCTACTGTTGTACTATTGTATGTTTATAGAAACACCAGATATCACCTAACTTGGGGATATATTCTAGGCTACTGTTGTACTAATGTATATTTATAGAAACACCAGATATCACCTAACTTGGGGATATATTCTAGGCTACTGTTGTACTATTGTATGTTTATAGAAACACCAGATATCACCTAACTTGGGGATATATTCTAGGCTACTGTTGTACTATTGTATATTTATAGAAACACCAGACATCACCTAACTTGGGGATATATTCTAGGCTACTGTTGTACTATTGTATGTTTATAGAAACACCAGACATCACCTAACTTGGGGATATATTCTAGGCTACTGTTGTACTATTGTATGTTTATAGAAACACCAGCATCACCTAACTTGGGGATATATTCTAGGCTACTGTTGTACTATTGTATGTTTATAGAAACACCAGACATCACCTAACTTGGGGATATATTCTAGGCTACTGTTGTTCTATTGTATATTTATAGAAACACCAGACATCACCTAACTTGGGGATATATTCTAGGCTACTGTTGTACTATTGTATGTTTATAGAAACACCAGACATCACCTAACTTGGGGATATATTCTAGGATACTGTTGTACTAATGTATATTTATAGAAACACCAGACATCACCTAACTTGAGGATATATTCTAGGCTACTGTTGTACTATTGTATATTTATAGAAACACCAGACATGACCTAACTTGGGGATATATTCTAGGCTACTGTTGTACTATTGTATATTTATAGAAACACCAGACATCACCTAACTTGGGGATATATTCTAGGCTACTGTTGTACTATTGTATATTTATAGAAACACCAGACATCACCTAACTTGGGGATATATTCTAGGCTACTGTTGTACTATTGTATGTTTATAGAAACACCAGATATCACCTAACTTGAGAATATATTCTAGGCTACTGTTGTGCTTTTGTATGTTTATAGAAACACCAGACATCACCTTACTTGGGGATATATTCTAGGCTACTGTTGTACTAATGTATATTTATAGAAACACCAGACATCACATAACTTGAGAATATATTCTAGGCTACTGTTGTGCTTTTGTCTGTTTATAGAAACACCAGACATCACCTAACTTGGGGATATATTCTAGGCTACTGTTGTACTATTGTATATTTATAGAAACACCAGACATCACCTAACCATGAGATGTATTCTAGAGAATATTCCACTGTTCTACTGTCGGTAATTAATCTGATTTGCCACTGTACTTGATTGAAGATTAAAACAAAACAGATTGTAAAAGAGGTACATTTATTACTTGAAATTTGAAAAACGTGTAGAAATAATTCTGTTTTCTGAATCAGGTTTATCAGGTTCTTGTCCATCCTGAAAAAAGAAAAGCACACTCTATAGACAAAACATGTTGCTTTCTGCTAATAAGATTGGAATGATTATTCAGTAGCGTTTCTACGGGGTCTAGGTGATCGACTGCTGATTATGCTCCGACCTAGGAATGTATTGTTAATTTTTAAAATATACTTACTATTTATCAGAAGTGAGCACCGCTTGCACCAGAACTTCTTCTTGCGGCGGCGACTATTGTTAATTTTTAAAATATATTTACTATTTACCAGTAGCGAGTACCGCTTGCACCAGAACTTCTTCTTGCGGCGGCGACTATTGTTAATTTTTAAAATATACTTACTATTTACTAGAAGCGAGCACCGCTTGCACCAGAACTTCTTCTTGCGGCGGCGACTATTGTTAATTTTTAAAATATATTTACTATTTACCAGTAGCGAGTACCGCTTGCACCAGAACTTCTTCTTGCGGCGGCGACTATTGTTAATTTTTAAAATATACTTACTATTTACTAGAAGCGAGCACCGCTTGCACCAGAACTTCTTCTTGCGGCGGCGACTATTGTTAATTTTTAAAACATACTTACTATTTACCAGAAGCGAGCACTGCTTGCACCAGAACTTCTTCTTGCGGCGGCGACTATTGTTAATTTTTAAAACATACTTACTATTTACCAGAAGCGAGCACCGCTTGCACCAGAACTTCTTCTTGCGGCGGCGACTACGGAACCACCCATGTCAGGGATTCCTCCAGCTCCAGCTCCAGCTCCACCGGCTCCGAACTGATCCATATAGGCTTTAACATATTGTCGGTACTCAGCGGGAACATATTTCATATAACCAACTGGCATTTGGGGAATAGTAAATGCATCGTTTACAGCCACTAGGCATAGTGCTGCCACTACGGCAAGGATAACTTGTGAGGTCTGCATTCTGAAAAGTAAATAGAGAGAAACATAACATACAGATGTCGACGTACTTGCCATTTGAAGTATAAAGACCATCAAAATAAAATCTTACAGATGTGGACGTCTTTGACTTCTGTATAAAGACTATCTGATCTATTTGAACACAAATATATATAAAGTTGGAAAGCTGGTAACCTCTGGTGGAAATTTATTGATCCATTTGTCAGTACCTAATTACGATTGTAAAGCAGTAGCAGAAAGCTTCCAAAACTGGGGGTATAAATAGAGACTCATTAGGGGGATAACTGTCATAGTTGCGGAGCGTCTGAGAGAGCTCTCTCAAGAATTGTGTGCATTCTGGCACATATTTAAGGACAGAAACATAAAAAAGTAATGAATTTTTAAATTTGTTAAGCTTTAACGCACTTTTTTCCCCACTTACGCTACCACTGTTGTGAAGACAAAACAAAATAATTAGGCTTAATTTTGTACTTGAGTTTTAAGTAAAATGAAACGAAAGTAAGGGAAAAGGAAATGAAATGAAACGAAAGTAAAGTAAAAGTAAAAACTCACTTGTGTTTGAATGTAGATATGAACAGCACAATAAGAGATAGGACAATTCCAACTGGAAACAGTAGCTTGTCTTCTCTAAAACCAACAAATGAGTGTGAAGAAGTAAGAATTTCTGGGCTTTTATAATACACATTTTATGTAATTTTCAAACAAATTCTGTCAAGGACGTCACAGATCATTTTATTAGAATTTTTAATGCCGACATTTTATAACTGTAAAATTTACTGCTATAATGTAAAAATATCTTTTGTTTTATTAGAATCACTTAACTCTGTGACCTTTGAACTTTTGTTGATGCGACATCAGTTTCGTTAAAACCTAAATAGGTTTAAAATCCCTGCACCTGCGGAGATAATGAAGATTCCATTTTGCAAGGCCTATTTTACTGTCCCTACACCAACCAGACATCTGTCCAAATAACTATCAGAGGCTGTAATAGAAACAGATATTTCGGTCTAGTATGAGAAACAACTTTGCTTCTTGAAGGTTGAAGACTGTTTAAAACACATCCCTAAATTAAAGGAGAAAAGCTTTTAAATACATTTTATTCGATAGTCAAAGCAAACTTAAACACCAATTAAAAATATCAAAAAAGAGAAAATGGGTGAAATTGTCCATGTTTCTTCCTGGCCCAGGATGCAGTAAGACCAACATGTTTCTGTATGATTTCTGCAAAGGTATATTATATGTTGTACTATTTTCAGTTTATAAAAAACACCATACATCACCTTATTCACTGCTTTCGATTGCAATATTATCTGTTTATTGAAACGCAGATATCACCATACTCTGAGTTATATTCTAGAGGGTGATCCACTGTTGCACTAGGGTCTGTTTTCATAAACACCTGACATCACCATATTTTGGATTATAATCTAGAGGGTGGTCCATTATTCTAGTATTGTCTGTTTATAGAAACACCAGACACCCTCTAACTCTGGGTTATATTCTAGAGAGCGGTCGACTGTTGTTCTATTGTCTGTTTATAGAAACATGATGCATCACTGAACTCTGGGTTATATTCCAAAGTACTGGTACACTATAGTCTGTTCATAGAAACATTATACACCATCGATCTCTGGATTATATTCTACAGGATTTTCCACTGTTGTTGTATTGTCTGTTTATAGAAACACCAGACACCACCTGACTCCAGTGGCGGCGCGGAGGGATTCGCCTCTCGCAAAACAGGTTTGTACCCCCACTTAGTTTCTAAATTTCTTTATGCAAAATTATGTTTTATACGTTATTGGCCTAAAATATGTGTCAGAATGCAACAAATCCATTCTGTTCTTGAGGAAACCTCAGATGCTCCTTTGAAGGCTTCCACATATGGCGCTCCACAGAGCTGTCGCATTTGAATCTCAACCTTGATATTTGTCCCCTGCCCCATTTTGAGCCCTGACTCTAGGTTATTCCAGAGGATGGCAATGGCCGACTGTTTTCTATTAATGAAAATTTAGGTATCACCCAACTCTCGTTTATATTCTAGAGATTGGTCGATTGTTGTACTATTGTCTGCTCGTAGAAACACCAGACATCACCTAACTCTAGCTTACATTCTCGAGAGTGACGGGCTGTTGTTCTTTTGGTTTGGTTTTTTAGGCTATTGAATACTAGACATCACCTAACTCTGAGTTATATTCTGCAGGGTAGTCCACTATTTTACTATGGGGGGCTATTGACTGTAGTCAGTTGATGATTTGATTGAAACATAATAGATTGTAAAAGAGTTTACAAAACTTTATTACTATTGTTGGCTTTGCTCGATGATTGCATTAAAACAAACAGATTGTAAAAGAATTATATAAGTTCAAGGGACGTAACTCATGAAAAATTATTTGATTAAATTCAATAGTTCAAAGGCGGGAACTGATCACAAATGTTGTATTATGAAAATAAAAACCCGCATCCGTGCGGAATCATTTCATAATGAAAAGTGGCACCAAGTGATCAGAAGAGTAAGCATACCCTGCCTGGAATCACACTCGCCATTGCTGTTCAATACTACACATAAAATATTGAGGTAAAACAAAAACTATTGTAAATTAATAGAATCATTTGGTGGTAACTCGACATATTATTGTGATGACAAAATCATCATTCACGTGCGTAAAACCAATCTTAATCTTGGTCGTTAGACAAAAACATCTGTGAAACGGATTGCAAAAGAATGGTAACAATTTTAAAAGCTAAATATTTTACAAGCGGTTAGCTGTAATTTGAGAATCGTGTAGGACTAATTCTGTTTTCTGAAAATAGAAAAACCTTTTCCTTCAATAAAAGAAGATTTTGTTTAGTTCTGTTGGCAATGTTTGGCAGCGCACAATGAAGACAGTTGTACTAGAATAATGGAATAAGTCTGGTTTTATCTGATTTGATATACCGTAATACGTCCTGTTCCTTTTAAACGTCTTGGCAGCTTTTCCAATTTGTTCTCACTGAGCAACCGCGGCTATAAAGTAAGAGGTTATGTCGCTCAGTTTGTAAAGTTGCAGGGTATTCTTATGATGTTTTCTACTGTATACCCGTTACTAGTAATTACGTTTTTTAGTGTTAGTGTAATAGGTTTGTCTACTTGACCGGTCGCTCAGTTGTAACTTTATGTAGTGTTTTATGGGTCTGTCTACTTTACCTGTCGCTCAGTTGTAAGTTATGTAGTATGTGATAAGTTTGTCTAGTGAACCTGTCGCATAGTTTTAACTTTATGTAGTGTCTTATGGGTCTGTCTACTGAACCCCTCGCTCAGTTATAATGTTGTATGGGTTTGCCTGCTGAACCCGTCGCTCAGTTGTTAGCACAGTTTTAACGTCATGCAGTGTTTTATGGGTTGTTTACTGAACCCGTCGCACAGTTTTAACGTCATGCAGTGTTTTATGGGTTGTTTACTGAACCCGTCGCACAGTTTTAACGTCATGTAGTGTTTTATGGGTTTCTTTTTCACATTGTTGCTATACACTAGAAAAAAGGTGAGCATTTAAGACAGGACAAGTGTTTTGGAAGACTAAGCCGACTGCTGTCTTGGCTATCACTGTACCCAATGAAATCCTGGTAACATACTTAACACTTATTTTCCGCCGAAGCTGCCGAAACCGCCAAAGCTACCAAAGTTACCGAAGCCACCGAATGTACCGAAGCCGTAGCCACCAAGTAGACTACCAGATGGATTTTTGAGGAAAGTAAAAGCTTCGTTTACAACCACTAGGCATAGTGCTACCACTACGGCAAGGGTAACGTGTGAGGCCTGCATTCTGAAAAAAAAAATGGAAAATTCAAGACAATGCCTTGATAACTTATAAAACACTTCTTAATCCCGATAGTGTGGGACTCTCGCCCTTTTTAACGGTTCGCAACACGTGCATGGAAGATATACCGTGGCTTTTATTCCATGGAGTCTATTGGAGACCATGTAAATCGTCAGTGTAATACATTGTTATACTCTTTATTCACTTTTCACCAGCATGTTTTCCCGTGAATAGATAGATGGATACCGAAGAACCTTGTAGTCTGAGTAGAGGTGTCACAGACATAAAAATTAATAAGAATGACACTACTGAATGTCTGCTTTCATGAAAGGTAGGCAAAATTAAACTTAAAATAAAATGTAAGTAAAGTCAAAGGAAATAAGGTAAAAAGAAAGTAAAGTCGAGGGAAATGAAATAAAACGAAAGTAAAGTCAAGGGAAATGAAAAAAAAGCGAAAGTAAATTCAAAGGAAATAAAATAAAACGAAAGTAAAGTCTAGGGAAATGAAACAAAACGAAAGTAATGTCAAAGGAAATGAAAAAAGGCGAAAGTAAAGTCAAGGGAAATGGAATAAAACGAAAGTAGGTCAAGGTAAATGAAATAAAACGAAAGTAAAGTAGAGAGAAATGAAATAAAACGAAAGTAAAGTTGAGGGTAATGAAAAAAAGCGAAAGTAAAGTAGAGAGAAATGAAATAAAACGAAAGTAATGTCAAGGGAAATGAAATAAAACGAAAGTAAAGTCAAGGGAAATGAAATAAAACGAAAGTAGTTCAAGGGAAATAAAATAAAACGAAAGTAGATTCAAAGTAAAAACTTACATGTGTTTGAATGTAGATATTATCAGCACAATAAGAGATAGGACAATTCCAACTGGAAACAGTAGCTTGTCTTCTCTAAAACCAACAACATAATTTCTAGGCTTTCATGAAATTTTATATAATTTATATTTTGGGCGTTTTGTGAGACGTCACGAGACATATTTATTGCTGTAAAATTGACTTATTGATATGTATATGTAAAAATTGCCCGAACGTATTCGAAGTGTTCTGTTTTTCACATAAATTTATTTAACTTTAAGACTTTAATAGTAAGTCTAAATAACCAAAATGAAAACAATACAATAAGGTATTGGTGTCTGTGTGTAAAAACACAACACCTAACTATAGGGCTTATATTCTAGACTGTGGTCCACTGTTGCACTATTGTCTGTGTATAGAAACACCAGACATCACCTGACTAGGGCTTATATTCTAGACTGTGGTCCACTGTTGCACTATTGTATGTTTATAGAAACACCAGACATCACCCTACTCTGGGTTATATTCTAGACTGTGGTCCACTGTTGCACTATTGTATGTTTATAGAAACACCAGACATCACCTTACTCTGGGTTATATTCTAGACTGTGGTCCCATGTTGCACTATTGTATGTTTATAGAAACACCAGACATCACCCTACTCTGGGTTATATTCTAGACTGTGGTCCACTGTTGCACTATTGTATGTTTATAGAAACATCAGACATCACCTTACTCTGTGTTATGTTTTAGAGGGTGGTCCCATGTTGTACTATTGTCTGTTATAGAAACACCAGACATCACCTTACTCTGGGTTGTGTTGAAAAAGCGTGGTCTTCTGTTGTCTGTTTATAAAAAAAAACAGACACCACGTAACTATGGCTTATATTCTAGACAGTGGCCCACTGTTGTACTATTGTCTGTTTAAAGAAACATCAGACTCGACCTAACTCTGGGATATATTCTAGAGAGTGGTTCACTGTTGTACAATTTTCTGTTTATAGAAACACCAGACATCACCTAACTCTGGGTTATATTCTAGATGGGGGTCCACTGTTGTACTATTGTCTGTTTATAGAAACACCAGACATCACCTAACTCTGGGTTATATTCTAGAGAGTAGTTCACTGTTGTACTATTTTCTGTTATAGAAACAGCAGACTCCACCTAACTGGGATATTGTCTAGAGGATGGTCCACTGTAGTACTATTGTCTGTTATAGAAACAGCAGACTCCACCTAACTGGGATATTGTCTAGAGGATGGTCCATTGTAGTAGTATTGTCTATAGTGATGATCAAATCAAAACAAACCAGATTGTTAAAGAGGTACAAAAACTTTATTACTACATTTTAGATTGTTCTAAAAGCTACGACACACAAACATCATTTCAAACAGAAAATCTGAAGATGTACATCATTGTAAAGCGTTGCTATCATCGGACCGGAGAGAATGCTACCAATTTTAAAAGCTGAATATTTTACAAGCGGCTAGTTGAAATTTGAAAAACGTAAAGGACTAATTCTGTATTCTAAATCGGGTTTATCAGGTTCCTGTCCGCCCTGGAAATAGAAATATACATTCTATATCAAAAAATAACGAATCCAAGTGTGGATCTTTGTCAATGCTTGGCAGTGTACAAAAGGGGAAATTTCACAACAATTGTTGCATTAATCTGATCTGGAACAATTACATCGTGCAGTGACATAGCGAGGATATCATTGAGGGTTGGCCATCCGAGCGCCCGACAGCCCTTTAAAGACCTTAGAGCTTAGTCATGGTGAAGGTAAGGAGGACCTCCCCTTGAAAATTGTCTAATCTCGGAACCCGGAGAATAGTGCGATTTCGGAAGTGAAAGTATAATGATTATTTCCTTTTTCATGGTCCCGGTGGAGGGGGGGGGGGAGGGGGAAGGCCAAAATGTTACCCCCTGAATACGTCACTGACACCCTATAACACGTGACGAAGCACTGTACTTACTTGTTATTACATGCCGCCTCCACCTAACGCCAAGTTAGGGGAAGTAGGAATTGATGTTCCAGCTCCTGCTCCAGCCGCATTTGCTGCGTATTGCTTCATAAAGGCCTTAACATATGCTCTGTATGCGGCGGGCACATATTGCATATATCCAGGTGGCATTTGGGGAATAGTAA